ATGTTAAATCTTAATTTCTTCTGGTTGATTGATATAAATATACCTCTTTTGTATATATAGTCTTGGGCCAAAGCTCGACACATTAATATATGTCTATATTAATGAAAAGTACTAATGCACAATCTGACTTACGGTTTCTTCAGGTTTATTCTTAGTTACAGATACATTATAAAACAACAAATAATGTTACAGGATAATGGACGTTCACCAGCAAATGGTAATTGCTGGACTCCTGAAGGGAGAGTTACATTGTTGTACCGGAAAGAGAGACAAGAGATCTCGTGTCCATTTGTTCAGTTACTATATAGAAGTGCCCATAACTCTAGCCATATAAGGACAAAACCCCCAACTTACATTCCAGAGCTCTCATACAAGAAAACCATGTGACTTAGACCATCTGTTACTTATGTCAATCAACACATCCATATATAATCAATAGAAACATAGAATATGTAATATTCTACATTCCCTCTGTTTATGTTTTGTTTTAAAACCATAACACAATGTAACTAACCTGTCCATTCATATATCACTCGTATCACATTAATTGAGCATAGAACAAGATGTAGTCACAACTTTCTATTATATAAGAGTTCTTAGAAGGTTGAGTTTCTATCCCTCATACTGCTTACTTTACTTCAAACTCCCTTTGTTTCACCTATGTATTGATATCTATATCCATGTTACACATTAACTACTTGAAAATAATGTATACATACATATAACAATAATAAATGAATAAAATAAAATAAAATATTTACAGATCTTGATCCAATAAACAATGTAAAGCAATCAGAAAGATCTACCTGCTCAGGTACAGTCATGTCTTTGCAGATAACAAAATCAAGATGATAACTTTCTAAATTATTACTGTGTATCACTATCATATTCCTAATACAGATACATATAACAAACTATTTTCATTCTCAATACCTGGTATTCCTGAAGTACTAATACATGTATTACTTTAGTATCCCGTTCTAGTGAACTTAAACTCTTTAGGTCATTTGTATTCATGAATTACATTCCTATACTATTAATACCACTTAGTGATGATTGTATCAGTATTTTACAATCATAGTATTTAATTTGTATATTCAGTAGGCTCTAACTACCTGAAATATATCAACACTACTTATAAATCTCATAATATTCTTTTAAACATTCAAAGGTTGTGTTGTTATCAACCATGAAGTTCTATAATAATTCTTCAAATAATGTTCATGGTGTTGACAATACTTATTGTTCTAGAAAATCTTCATCCAGAAATCTTTTTATCATAGATTTATTTTTGTTTAAATAATTACAATTTTCACTAAAATTCCACCTTGTAGTAACAAACTTTTCATTTAATAGGAGAACAGCTTACTTTAAAATAACTTGGAAAGAATAATTTAAATTCATTATCACCACTCTCCTCATTAGTCCTTAATTGTGATGACTTATTAATGTAATATATATTAACATAAAAGTAGGATTGGCCAAATGTTACCCAAACATTTGTTCTGACCAATCCGTATTCCTTAGTACATTTCAACTGACTAAATTAAAATAAAATAAAATAAACTTGGGGTCATACTGCCCAGAAACTCTTATTCCTAGTCTGTGTCTAACAAACTCAGGGAAATCATAAAACAACTTATAACAACTTATTCATTGGATATCGTCATATCCAGAAACCTATCCTCCCTAGTCCATACATTTATAGACTTAGTTTAAATATAATTGTGTACTATACTCTTAGCTAAACTTCAATTCAATTCCTCTTGGATCTCTGAACTCTTATATCCAAGACATTCTTCATGTATACCATTACTTAATATTAATCATTATAAATTATCCTTCCTTAGTTTTCTTCTTTATGTTACCATTGTTTGTTTTACTTCACCTAGATATTAACAAAATATTTATACTAGTGAATCTATGAATTTATTGCACTCAATCTTTGTAGTATTAAGTAACCATGATCCTTATTTTATCAACTTCATATTTTATGTACCTCTGATACTTCTCATTCTATGTAGAGGTCATAATGTAATAGTTCTCTTCATAATACTATCCTTTCGTAATTTTACTCCAAGCGTTACACATTTATAAATACTCTCTTTTGGTTTTAATTCACTCATAACTGTTAAATAACTTTTCATTGTCTGTTTTCTTTTCCGTTAATATTTAGGAATTGAAATGTATGTTATTTTATTTCTTTGTAAGTCTGTTAATCTTATGTATCAAATTAACTCTGTGGAATCTTCCATCACAGTTTGCAGATTAGATGAAAAGTCTCTTTCCAACAGTCGATGTCCATTTGTCTGAAGGAATGATTTCCTGATTTATTACCACAAGGATCTTTCACGCTTTACCTACATTAAAACAAAAAAACATGTGCAGCATCAATACAATGGCTTACATTGTTTATATCTCATTATTATACAGTTTAACATTGAATTACTTTGACTACACAACATTCTCATTTCTTCTAATGAGATCTACCATCTAGAGGTCATTGCTTTTCTCATTGCCATGTGATGTATAATCTTTAAATTTCCTTTATATAAAAATCTTTCTGAACATTTTATTAATCATAAATCATACCCCCCTTTTAAACTGTTTAATAATCTGGAGGTATAACCTAATCACATGTCAGATGTTAAAAAAACAAAAAACAAAACATGGTTTTCCACTATACTTTAGCTATAGTAGCCATTTTGTCTTAACACTGGCACCATTTTGTCACATGAAACAAACAGCAAAAGACATATATTGTTTCCTACATCAAATCTATCTGCAAATCTAGGTTTTATCCTATCAAAACTTTTGTCTTATATATAATCAAAACATATGTATGTCCAGGCTTTGCAAAATATAGTAATCCATTATCAGTCATGACATTAAAATCTCATTCTCATGAATTAAATCAAAGATTTTAAAACAACCCCAGAAGTAACAAGGAATATATTTTTAGTTTTTTCCTTCTGTAAAATGATTGTTACTGTATAATCACATGCACCAGGACTGTCCAACCTGCGGCCCCCCAGATGTTGCTGAACTACAACTCCCATGATTCTTTCAATTAAACAGATAGCCAGGGAATCATAGGAGTTGTAGTTCAGCAACATCTGGGGGGCCGCAGGTTGGACAGCCCTGGCATACACCCAATATAACATTGCATGTTCCTAACAACTACATTAGTGTATTTCATTCTGAGACAACCTTGACGTACATATTTTTATTTTAATTATTTCACCTAATACTTTCCTATAACACACATAAAAACAATGAAAAAAACAGAACAGACTAACAATTCAGTAAAACAACAAACTAACATAGATCTCTATTCTTGTGTTGTTCTTTGTGAAGAAAATAGACTTTTATTTGACATTTTCTTCTTTGTTCGGTATTTTTCCTGTTTATTACATGTATATTAAATATATTGGTTCGGTAGTTTGAAATTACCGAACACGGACCCCCCTCCTGGCTCATTAACTACAAAGGAACCATCTATTAAGTGCTCCCTGGGCGGCCGCTGTTCGTATAGCCGAACACCACGTGGAATATAGCCGAATGCCACGTGTTCGCACGAGGGGAGTCAGCGGGACTTGGTCGTCGAGTGTCCCGCTAGAACAATTTTTTGACCATACACCTGCAGACACCAGGGACTGCGTCAGAGACAGGAAGCCGACCACAGTCGAGGAAGTGGCCAAGCTAGCAGATGAACATCACAAAGGAAGAAAAGGAGAAGTGGGTGGAAGCCGTCCTTTGGTACGGTACAGCGCCCCAACGCCAGGTCCTGTGGCCAACCCCAGACCAAACCCGGTACCACCCACGACACAGCCTAATTTTAACAGGAGAACCCAATTGGTATGTCACCAGTGCAATCAGCCAGGGCACTACAAAATACATTGCCCTCAGCGGAGCACAGGCAACTGGGAGCGGCCCCCACCACCACCGAGGGCCGCCGCTCACCACTATCAACATGAACCCCTAGAAGAGCACAGCCTGGATTTGGAGCAATGGGCCGTATTACATGAGGTGAACCTAGCCCAAGCCGAGGGGGACAACCGGGTGCACCACAGACAATGGGTCACCATAGATGGAAAAGAGGCGGAGGCGCTACGAGACTCTGGGGCCACCCTTAATTTGGTGCAGCCTCACACGGTATCTACAAAGGCGTGCACCAACAAGACTGTGGCCGTAAGAGTGGCAGGAGGCGCCATCCACAAGTTACCCACAGTACAGTTAAATTGGGGCACCGAAGCCAAGCAGATGGAGGTGGGCATTATGTCAGGACTACCTGCAGAAGTTTTGTTGGGGAATGACTTGGGGTGTCTAACTTCACAGCTGATTCACCCTGATCCCGCTGGAACCTGCCCCGTGACTACCAGGGCACAAGCCCGCCGAGCTGGACCAACACACTCCGAGGAACCACAGGTAGGAACCGAAATCCCTGTAGCATGACCTAACCCCATCCCCTTCTGGGGCACTCCCCAAGACTTTGTCCAAGCCCAGCAGTCAGATCCCACCTTAGCGGGTTACAGGAAGGCAGTAGGTACCTCTAAAGAAGGTAATGCCCACGAGAACTTCCACTGGGACAAGGGACTGCTATATAAGGTCACAGGGGGAGTGGGAAAGGGGGCAGCCCAAGTTATAAAAAGACAGTTAGTTGTACCCCGTAAATACAGGGCGGAGCTTCTAAAGCTCAGCCATGATATCCCGCTAGCAGGGCATCTGGGTATCAAGAAAACTAAGGACCGCCTTACCCAGACGTTCTTCAGGCCAGGGATATCCAAAGATTTGCAGACCTACTGCAGGACATGTGACACATGTCAAAGGATAGGGAAAAGGGGGGAGCACCCTAAGGCCAAGTTACGGTCCCTACCTATAATAGAAGAACCATTCTACAGAGTGGCCGTAGATCTGATAGGGCAAGTATTTGGGAAGTTACAAGAAGCCGGCCTCACCCTGAAACCCGAGAAATGCCATGTGGGTATGGCCGAGGTCCAATATTATTATTATTATTATTATTATTGCCATTTATATAGCGCCAACAGATTCCGTAGCGCTTTACAATATTATGTGAGGGGATTTAACTATAAATAGGACAATTACAAATAAACTTACAGGAACAATAGGTTGAAGAGGACCCTGCTCAATCGAGCTTACATTCTATAGGAGGTGGGGTGTAAAATACAGTAGGACAGGAATTTGCAATCAAATAAGGTGGACTGCCCTTTAGGAGAGGGCAAGAGACAGGTATGTGAGGTAGGGGTTAGTCTTGGAGGCCATAAGCTTTCCTAAAGAGATGGGTTTTAAGGCACTTCTTAAAAGATGCAAGACTAGGGGAGAGTCTGATGGCAGGAGGCAGGCTATTCCATAGGAAGGGAGCTGCCCGCGAGAAGTCCTGCAAACGCGAGTTGGCCGTACGGGTGCGGACAACGGACAGGAGGTGGTCACGGGAAGAGCGGAGAGACCGAGAAGGGACATACCTATGGATCTGTGAGGAGATATAAGAGGGGCTAGAGTTGTTCAGTGCTTTATAGGTGTGAGTTAGTGCCTTGAATTGACTCCTATAGCACACAGGAAGCCAATGTAAGGACTGGCAGAGGGGTGAGGTGTGAGAGAACCGACTAGAGAGGAAAATCAGTCTAGCAGCAGCGTTCATTACAGACTGTAGGGGTGCAGTACGGCTTTTGGGAAGACCAAGCAGGAGAGGGTTACAATAATCCATGCGGGAAATTACTAGAGCATGGACAAGCTCCTTGGTAGTATCTGGTGAAAGAAAGGGGCGGATGCGGGCTATGTTTTTAAGATGGAATCTACAGGATTTGGCAACATGCTGGATGTGACGCTCAAAGGTGAGACCAGAGTCAAGTATGACGCCAAGACAGTGCTTGCAAGGATGGGCTGATGTTGGTACCACAAACTTGAAGGGAGAGCGAAAGAGGAGGATCAGTATTAGGAGGAGGAAAGACAAGGAGCTCAGTTTTTGAGAGATTTAGTTTCAGAAAGCGGGAGGACATCCATTCAGAGATGGAAGAAAGGCAAGCAGTGACACGTTGCAGGACAGCAGTGGAGAGGTCCGGGGAGGAGAGATATAGCTGGGTGTCATCAGCGTACAGGTGGTAGTGGAATCCAAATGAGGTAATAAGTTTGCCAAGAGAGGCAGTATAAAGAGAAAATAGAAGGGGATCAAGGACGGAGCCTTGGGGGACTCCAACCGAGACAGGGCGAGGGGAGAAGGTATCATTAGAAAAAGAGACACTGAATGAGCGTTGGGAGACATAAGAGGAAAACCATGAGAGGACAGAGTCACAGAGCATAGAGTAGGGTCTGGGAAACAGCACCCTGAAACAGCTAAAGTAGAGGCCATAGCCAATTGGCCCCAGCCCCGTACCAAGACGTAGGTATTGGCCTTCCTGGGCACCGCAGGGTATTATAGAAAGTTTGTCCCGGAGTATAGCACCCTAGCAAAACCCCTCACTGATCTGACCAAAAAGTCCCTACCCAAGCAGGTAGCGTGGTCCCCGGAGTGTGCAACGGCGTTCCAGAGACTTAAAACGACTTTGAGCGAAGCTCCAGTATTGGCTGTCCCAGACCCTAATAAGACATTTCTCGTTCATACAGATGCCTCCATGTTTGGGCTAGGAGCCTTCCTGAGCCAGGTGGGGGAAGTCGGCATGGAGCACCCGGTGGCATATCTCAGCTGTAAGTTGCTACCTCGGGAGGTCAGCTATGCCACTGTGGAAAAAGTGGCGCTAGTATGGGCCTTAAAGAAACTCCAACCGTACCTTTATGGCCGTGCTTTTACCCTGCTTACTGACCACAACCCCCTCATTTGGCTCAACCGAGTCTCTGGAGACAATCCCCGGTTGCTACGCTGGAGTTTGGCGTTGCAACCCTACAATTTTACACTGCAATACCGCCCGGGCAAGCAGAACAGCAATGCGGATGGGCTTTCCCGTCAAACCGACTTGGATGTATAATTAGGCTACACGGACATCCCCTAGCCAACCCGGCAGGGTCTAGGTGGGTATGCCGACCCATGGAACTAAGGGGGAGTATTGTAAAGAAAATAGACTTTTATTTGACATTTGACATTTTCTTCTTTGTTCGGTATTTTTCCTGTTTATTACATGTATATTGAATATATTGGTTCGGTAGTTTGAAACTACCGAACACCGACCTGGCTCATTAACTACAAAGGAACCATCTATTAAGTGCTGCCTGGGCGGCCGCTGTTCGTATAGCCGAACGCCACGTGGAATAGAAGACGGCGGCCATCTTGTTCGCACGAGGGGAGTCAGCAAGACTTGGTCGTCGAGTGTCTGGAACTAAAATCGGACACTCGACCTCCCGAACCACCGCTGAAACTACCGAACGCCGGCTTCCTTTACTTCCCGAACAGCCAGGAGAGCGCCATTCGGTAGTTCTGTGCAAATGGACAAGGTGAGCAATTGCTCGTATGAGCCAGGAAGATCCATTCGGGACTTTTTCGGTTTTGTACCTGTTTCTGAATTGACCGACCGCATACGCTGAATTCATGGAATTCATCTGGGTGAAACCGATCTGGGTGAAATTTGGATATGTTTGTCCCCCAGATCAGGGCTATCAGGGGATATGTAATTTGTGGGGAAAGGGGTGTTCTAAGTTTTGGGGAAATTGTGTGCTCTCTGCCTGGAGATAATTGGTTTATCCCTTAACTTATCTCAATATCTCCTAGACAGAGGGAAGGCGTGTATTACTGTAAATCTGTACATTGATTGGCTGTTGTCTTTGTTTGCTTATAACTTTCTGTGTTACACTGCATTGCTTGTCTGTCTCCTAATTTTTATTTAGCTAAAATTGCTCTTATTTGTCTGATTATCAGTTTACAAGGAAAGGCCTTTATTGATTTATCCCATTTGCTTTTGATTTGATATCTCGGATAAAATATCTGCAAGACCTTAAATAATGTTGTTTATTGCACCAAAAACAAATAATTTTAGGAGTTATATTCTGCCTTTGATTATCAACTCTGCAGTTTTTAGTTGGGCAAATTGGGACGGGCTCAGCTGTCTGTATCACTCTTTTACACTGAGTCCTAGAAAAAGGAGGAGGAGGAGGGGGGTCAAATCTGCACTGCTTTCTCTGCCTAATTCCACAATTCATTTTAACCCCCTCTTTAAGTTATCCAAGAACAAAGCAACTTCTGTCAAAGTTATTTTTTCGTTAGCTATCACAATTTCAGTTGGATCTAGATCTTGAATTTTTTTCACAAATTCATTAATTAACTGATCTTCAGAAAAACTAGCAACAAGTCTATATGCACTTTCAAATTTTACAAGAAAACTAAAAATATTCTCACCATTGTGTGGTTTTAGTTTTTCCAACATTTCAATGTCTGCAAAATAATTCCCTGTTGTTAATTTTATTAATTGTGTTAATCTGTCTTGCTTATTTCCATATATTATTTCATCATTGTCCTCAAATCTTGCGGGCGCGGTCAGCCTACATGCCATTTGAGTCGGCAGCCATATTTTAAATAGTCTATTCCTTTGTTCGTCATTAAGATTATGTTTTGAGACATTAGACTCAAATGCGTCTGCATTACCAAAGGCATCCATTGATGGATTATATGGGGGAATATCTTTGGTAACTTTCATCAGCTGCTCTTGAATTCTTAATTTAAGTTTTGCAGCCTTATCTAACAATTTTCTACATTGCAAATCAGACTGGGATGATATTTCTGTGACATCAACTGGCTCTGGTATCAAATTATGATCACTCCTTGTAATTAAACACAACTGTTTGGCTTAGAAACATAGAAACATAGAATGTGACGGCAGATAAGAACCATTCGGCCCATCTAGTCTGCCCAATTTTCTAAATACTTTCATAAGTCCCTGGCCTTATCTTATAGTAAGGATAGCCTTATGCCTATCCCATGCATGCTTAAACTCCTTTACTGTGTTAACCTCTACCACTTCAGCTGGAAGGCTATTCCATGCACCCACTACCCTCCTGATATTATTTTTAAACCTTTGTCCCTCTAATTTAAGACTATGTCCTCTTGTTGTGGTAGTTTTTCTTCTTTTAAATATAGTCTCCTCCTTTACTGTGTTGATTCCCTTTATATATTTAAATGTTTCTATCATATCCCCCCTGTCTCGTCTTTCCTCCAAGCTATACATGTTAAGATCCTTTAACCTTTCCTGGTAAGTTTTATCCCGCAATCCATGAACCAGTTTAGTAGCCCTTCTCTGAACCCTCTCTAAGGTATCAATATCCTTCTGAAGATACGGTCTCCAGTACTGTGTACAATACTCCAAGTGAGGTCTCACCAGTGTTCTGTACAATGGCATGTGCACTTCCCTCTTTCTACTGCTAATACCTCTCCCTATACAACCAAGCATTCTGCTAGCATTTCCTGCTGCTCTATTACATTGTTTGCCTACCTTTAAGTCATCAGAAATAATCACCCCTAAATCCCTTTCCTCAAATGTTGAGGTTAGGACTCTATCAAATATTCTGTACTCTGCCCTTGGGTTTTTACGTCCAAGATGCAATATCTTGTACTTATCCACATTAAATGTCAGTTGCCACAGCTTTGACCATTTTTCTAGTTTACCTAAATCATTTGCCATTTGGCTTATCCCTCCTGGAACATCAACCCTGTTACATATCTTAGTATCATCATATCATCAGCAAAAAGACATACCTTACCATCAAGACCTTCTGCAATATCACAATATTCTTAGCTTACAAATCAGTTCAGATTTAAGATCCAACTGTTCTTCCAAATCACAAAAATTTGCGTGGAGTCTATCACAGTTAGTACGTTTAATTTCTGTTACACATACAGATTTCTCTTTAATGTCTGTCTGTGTACTTTTTAAATCTTGCACCTTTACGTGTGCTGGTACTTGCAATTTTGTTGGAGCCACTCCTGTTCTAAGGATCATTGTGTCAAAGGTTTCTACCAATTTTAAAACATTTCTAATATTCTTTTTTGTTTTATTTAAACATAACAGTTTATTATCAATAGCTGAATTTGCTTGTTTACACAGCTCATACAAACTTGCCCACAATTGACTATCTGTATAGCATTTATTAAACACAAAATCAAGTTTACTTTTCTCTGCAATATCAGTAACAAAATCCATTATTACTCACCAGACAAGATGATCTTTAAAGGACCACTCTAGGCACCCAGACCACTTCAGCTTAATGAAGTGGTCTGGGTGCCAGGTCCTTCTAGGGTTAACCCATTTTTTCATAATTATAGCAGTTTCAGAGAAACTGCTATAATTATGAATGGGTTAAGCCTTCCCCCTAATCCTCTAGTGGCTGTCTCATTGACAGCTACTAGAAGGCGCTTAATAACTTCTCACTGTGATTTTCACAGTGAGAGCGCATAGCGTCCATAAAGCATTGTAAATGCTTTCCTATGTAACCAGGCGAATCTGTGGCGGCTTTCTTGCAGCTTGTCGCATTCAACGGCGGACGAGGCGGAGAGGAGGAG